AGAAGAAGAAAAGAAGGAGAAAGAAGAAGAAAAAGAAGAAAGAGAAGGAAGAGGAAGAAAGAGAAGGAAGAAGAAGGAAGAGAAGAAGAAGAAAGAAGAAGAAGAAGAAGAAGAAGAAGAAGAAGAAGAAGAGAAGAAGAAGAAGAAGAAAAAGAAGAAGAAGAAGAAGAGAAGAAAGAAGAAGAAGAGAAAAAAAGAAGAAGAAAAGAAGAAGAAGAAAGAAGAAGAACGAGGAAAGAAGAAGAAGAAGACAGAAGAAGAAGAAGAAGAAGAGAAGAAGAAGAAGAAGAAGAAGAGAAGAAGAAGAAGAAGAAGAAACAAGAAGGAAGAAGAAGAAGAAGAAGAAGAAGAAAGTAAGAAGAAGAAGAGAAAGAAGAGAAAAAAGAAGAAAGAAGACAAGAAGAAAGAAGAAGAAGAAAGAAGAAGAAGAAGAAGGAAGAAAGAAGAAGAAGAAGAGAAAAGGAAGAAAAGAAAGAAGAAAGAAGAAGAAGAAGAAGAAAGAAAGAAGAAGAAAGAAGAAGAGAACGAAGAAGAAGAGAGAAGAAGAAGAAGAAGAAGAAGAAGAAGAGTAGCAGAAGAACGAAGAAGAAAGAAGAAGAGAGAAGAAGAAGACAGAAGAAGGTTAAAGAAGAAGAAGAAGAAAGAAAGAAGAAAGAAAGAAGAAGAAAGAAGAAGAGAAGACTGCTGGTTATGATGGTATTTATATTCTTTCTTGTCCCATGCAATCAGTACAATGTTGGACAACTCTCTTTCAGACCGTACGCAATTCTACATGCAGTGTGTGTCAAAATTTCTTTATGATCCGCGAGGTGGTGTTTTCATCAGTTCTGATGATTTCTTTTGTGCAAAAGAAATTGGAAATCACTGCCATTTTCAAATTATTTAAAAAAAAATTAATATAAGCCATGCAAAGGAATGGGTACCTAAGAGACGCTACCGCACGATAGAATAAATTGTTCACTATGAACGTGCTGCAATTTATTGCCGCATGGTAACCCACGTACGTATACATAAGATACGATATGAAGCACAGATGCACGAAAATGCGGAGGAGTGAAACTGTCAGTGTCGCTCAGTGTCGCTCAGTGCTGCGATACTTTTTCCATTTCCCAGGGTTATCGCTTTGTTACAAGGAACAAGGAATCCGAAAAAGGGCCCCCGACGAACTTCAGTAATCAAGGGGCTCCTTTTAATTAAAAAGCTATTCCAAAGTAAGCCCTTTCTCCTCTCAGTGCTATGAAATTCATACAAATGTGGATATTGCAGTGAATGCTAGATGTGCTGGAAGAGAAAATTCTTCACTATACCATAAAACAGACTAAATATATTTCTCTGTCGCATTCTCCTGCGTAAACAGCAATTGATGCCAACATTAAAAACTCTAAAATTATTGTTTACTTATTTTTGAAAGAGTGTCACGATTTCCACCAATATTACTCTATAGCTACTCATATTTTTTTAATGTACATGAAATATTTTAAGAATCTGAAATTGAGGAATAAATAACATGGGTAAAAAATCACTGAATAACTAAGAACCCATTTTGGTGAACTCTTTTTTCTCGAAATTTGCAAAAAGTTAACATCTAACGTACAGCTTTAACGACAGAATGTTTTTCCTTAAATAAATATGTTCCAAAGAAATATACATTTAAATAATTTCATGTACATTTTTTTAAAATATGACTAGTTCTCGCATATTTTTACTCCCATGATGAAAATGTTTAAATGGTTTTCAAACTCGCCTTTCGCCATCAATATTGAAGCTAGATTTTTCTTTCTCGATGCAATACATTTCTCAATATTAAATGTTTTAATCATTTCATATACATTTGTTTTCGAGATATCGGGATATTTGAAAGATTTTTTTTAAATATGAAAACTAATGGATCATATTAACACAAGGAAAATAATGTGCAATTTATGTTAAAACAAATTGAATAATATTACCATATTATAATTAAAATTAATAATTATTATATTTTTTGGTCCATTTATATTTTGATGTCAGCGCTATCAGGTTGACTGACAGTTATGCCGTTGCTGGTTGCTAAGCCGCCTGGACAGAAGGCCTCGTTGGTTAAACGCCAATTCAAATGCGACCCACTGCCTCTCGTTCCCCAGAAAAGCTGGGTTTGGGTAAAACTAGGATCGTTTGCTGATGTTTACAGACTATTTTGTAGAGGTTTGAAGGAAAGGATGGAAGTTGGATGAAGAGTAGAGAGATTATTTTATTGAGGGTTTAAGGTGTTTGAAATGCTATTTTATTTAGGTATTAGAGAAGAGAACTAGAGGTTTTTTATTTGATAGTTTAAGGACGAGGTTTCGCAAGGTTATTTTGTTAAGGTTCGTCTTGTCGCCGTGTCATATTGTCTGTATGTGTAGTTAGATAAGTGGTGGAGATAGTTTAAGAATATCTAATATGTGATTTTTGCTGTTGTGTCACGAGAGGTTGAGGAGGGGTTGGTGAGTTTGTGGCGAGTAGATGAAGTTGACAAACTGATGCACCGTATTGCATAATGTATGAAAGATGTGTTGTGGGAGTGGGGGAAGGTTGGGTTCGGTGGGTGTTGTAGTTGGCACATGGAGTTGGGGTAGAAGATGAGGTGGACAACACGGTATTCAATTCTATTTAGATGTTTGTAGGACGTGTTACAGATGGTGGATCATGTGGAAGAGGCTTAGATAATGACAAATCTGATGTAGTAGAGAAATAGCTTGTTCTTGATGGAAAGTGAAGGATAACTGAGGCTGGGTTGAAGGATAATTATTTGCTGATTGGCTTTAAAGGTATAGGTGTGTGTATACACACACACACACACACACACACACACACACACACACCTTAGGAGCGCGTACGCGGAGATGCTACCTGGCGCTCCTCTTGACGACTGACTACGAGACAGGACAGCAGACCAACATAATATTAACGGAAAATTAATCCAAATAAAGTGTTAACGGAGGATTACTCCATAAAAGTAAGCGCTCAACGCCCTCATAAGGGTTTGGAGACGCGTTTTGACAGTGCACACAAAAGTCACAGCGATGCAATTACCTATGATGTCATAAAGTTGTTTCCATCTTGATTATCTTATAAATATATAATTCTGTTATACAAAAAGTAAAACGAATGCAACACAATTACAATGTTGCTTCATTACATTCGTTCATATCAGAAACGTCGCTTCTAACATCGATCATTTGCAAAACATTTACTTCAGCAATCATGTTTAATATTATGAATTAGTTGCAAAATAGATTATTGTGACTAAAATGCGCATCGAACATCGTTGATGCTCTCATGCACATGAATACATTAACACACTGGATCTAAAGGCAGAAAGCTATTTTCATTTTCACTTTAGAATGAAAAACATATGTTTTTCACACTTTTCGGAGTAATTCAAGTGATACCTAAGGTGTAGCTAGATAGAGATTGTTACATTGTAATATTTCATAATCATTACCAATATTACGAGACAGTATGTGTTGTTGTTGTTGCATCGTTAATAAATGTTATTGATATATATTTCAAAAATGTTCAATCAACTGATACTTTTTGAATCATCCTCGTGTTAATTTTACGTTTAACATTTTCAGCAAGCATATTTTAGCGGGTGTGTTCGCAAACATATCGAACGATTTGTATCGTGCGTATTCGAGACATCGTCCGGCAGTTGACGGGAATCAGCTGTCAATTCAAGTTCAGTGTTGATTGTGAAGTTTGACTGAAATCCGAGATAAGTTCTTTAATGCTCGTTCACAGTGATCAATTTTGAATTGTGGAGGGTCTGCCAGGAAATGAAAACGTACGGAAGAAAGAAATCCTTTCAAAAGTGCACCCAAATTAGTATAGACTTCAAAGAAATGTGCCGTCTGTGCTTATGTTGCAGTGGAGACAGACAAAACATTTTTAACAGCAGAGGAGAAGTGCCACTTCCTTTAAAGATTCTAACCTGTGTGTCAGTTGAGGTCAGTTGTGTTATGTTAAATTATAAAAGACAACATCATGAAGCTCTAAACTGTTAATTATTTTCAATTTTAAATATTGAATTTTTATAGCGACAGGTTTTCCTTATTGAGTTTTATAATTCTGTCACATATTTTGCGCTAGAAAACTTAATTTTTAGAGCATCAAATCATATTCTTGGTTACGGTTTCAGGTGTATGAAGGTGACGGCCTTCCAACAGATGTGTGTAAAAAGTGCTTAAAGCTGCTTGAAATATTTTATAAGTTTCGTAAACAGTGTGAGGAAGTTAATAGCAAGCTTCATGATATCTCAAAGAAGCATAAAGATGCACCAGAATCAGAGGTAAATTATTTTAAATTACATTTTCACAAAATGTTTTGATGAAGAAACATGTAATATTTGCTAATTTAAATCATGTTAATTGTTGTTTCAGGTATTGCAACAAAAACAGGAAGATCGAAGAAAAATGACCTTTGTTGACTTATTGTACAATGCTAGCAAGGATATTAAAGGAGAGATTGTATTGGATGATACAACATGTGTTATGAACACATTGTTAATAGATTGTGAAAATATAACAGGAACCAATAATGACTCCCTTCAAGAAGCAACATTGGACCATAGAATCAACACCATTTACAATAATAATAACAACATCAAAGATAATAACAGTAATGTTAATGCCCAGGAGCAAAGTGGAATTATTTCTGATACAAGAGGTGACAATGTTGGTCATTGGCAAAGTGCAGAAAATAATACAACAGAAAATACTCATTTTCATATCAGTGAAAATATTTCATCAGTTGAAAATACATCTCCAAATAACATTAGAAATGTATCAGCAGAAGAATGTGTTACAAGCAATCACGTGGAAGCTTCTAAATCACAGTCATTAACTTCATTCACACATTTGGAACCTCTCTCAGCCAACTCCGAAGGGTTAATTTTTAGATGTGACAAGTGTCCCAAAGGATTTTCAAAACGAATAGACTTGAAACGACATAGCTCAGTGCATGACCAACAAAGAGGTTTTGTGTGTGCTGTATGTGAGAAATGGTTTCCTAATAAAACAAGCTACAAGAGACATGAGAGAATACACACTGGTGAAAAGCCATTCTCATGTTCATATTGTCAAAAATGCTTCTCACAAGATTCAATTCTGTCTAGACACCTGCTCATTCACACAGGAGAAAAACCATTTAAGTGTGAATTGTGTGGCAAAGGATTTACTCAAAGGGAAGGACTGAAAGTACACAAGCGGCAACATGATTACAGCAATCATGATAAGCAACAGCAGCCACAATACTACTGCCCTTTGTGTAAAAAAGGTTTCTGCCACCAGTCTGGTCTTTCAAGACATCTCATTACTCACACAGGAAAAACATTTGATTGTCCAATGTGTTCTAAACCATTTTCAGATCAGTCTTCACTGAAGAGGCACACTAAGAAGCACAATTCTATTAAAAATGAAATGGATTTGTAGCCAAAAACAAGCAAAGAAATAGAAATACTTTGGAGACATATAGGATATCTGGAGAGATAAAATTTAGACTTATGATATTTGTAACAAAATTAGGCATGGAAATTTTATACTAAATTAATGATAATGTTAGATAATCTGGCTCAAAATCTTTATACAGATCTACTTTGCCCTTGTGTACTAGCATTCAAAATTTTGTTTAATCAACAGACGATGAAATATAGCCAAAAAATATATTCTTTGAAAAAAAGGAAAAGTAAATAAAATGTTTAATTGGTTATGCCCACCTAAATTCAACATATTTTTGAGGAGTATCTATAATATGGGGGGATTATATTTTCTTAATTTATAAAAAATGTTCTGATATCTTTGAGAATGTAATTTATGTACTTTTCTTGGACACTGTCTTGTATGATGCTTAACTTTGATTTCTTGTATTAAAATAGTTATGTATGCTATTTAAACATTATCATAAACAATTAAACTGTACAGTGTCAAAGTGGATTAAGATTTTCTGTAGTTGGTCAGTTTCTCTTATTAGCATTTTGAACTTATATTTTAGATGTTATGGATCAATTTGCATTGATGATGGTACTGTCAGAACACTATGAAAATGGAATCAACAATTTCTTAATCATTAATGTAAAGAGTGTCAGTATTATGAAAATGTAAACCTTTATAAAGATAAATTATTTATATTACCATTCTATTTTATTATTGATTATTTGGAATTATTATAATATATTTTAATACTTACAGATTATCTTCCAATATAATATATAACTTATTAAAATTACAACTTTTCATTTGGAAGAAATTGATAAACTTTTTAGAATTTCATCCAGACTTTTTAGAATGAATAATGAAGATTGAATGTGTATTTCCATCTAGATTTTTTCATCAGCTGCTTTTTTTATGTTAAGTGTTAAAAAGTATAAATTCTTAATTCTTGTCTAGTTAATGCACATCAGTCTCTTGTATCCAAAACTTTTGTTCAAATAAATATTCATTCTGAAACTCTTGGGGGCTGCTTTTTATGTTCATAACTGACAAGCATTATTGCTATGGGTGGGAACCCAAGAACCTTTGGAGTCTTTAATTCAATATTTATTATTCAGAAATTCATTTGAATTCCTAGATATTTTGGTATGATTGCTGAGCTGTTTTTTCTCCTTTCATTTAATAGTTATATTAATAGTCTGTTAATGATCTTATTTGATGCTCAATAAAATCTTCCAGTTCTTCATCACTAACTTCTGAACTAGAACAATTTTCTTCTTTTTTTTCTGATTTGCTTTATTGATCTTATTCTGAAGCCTAATTTGTCTTTCATACATGCCATATAAATATGGTATAATCGTTTTCACTAAACACACATTTTTCTGTCCATGAATGAGGGCTTTATGTATAGAATGTTTGTTTTTAATTAATGGAGACTTCTATCAGTGTTTAATTCTCTCTGCCAAATTGTAATTTAGTTCATGCAAGTTGTAAACAAATCAATGATCAAGATTCCTGAATGAAAGCTTTTACCTGGATTTAAAAACTTCATATTAATTTCACTCAAATCCAAGAGCATCTTTATGAATTCATTGCAAATTTTATGACTAAACTGCAATAAATATTTGGAATTTGCATGATTGAATGCATTTCTCTGAATATGTATTGAACGAAATATCAATGTTGAGTTCATTCTTCTCTAGCTGAATCCTAATTAAAAAATGATTAAACTACTATAGTCTGAAGGATAAACAGTAATAACATATTTGGATGTAGGATTGAAATTACTTGAAAGTGGTGCATTTATTTCTATTAAAAATTCAATGGTATTTCAGTACTTACATGTTTTTATTAAGATTCTTGTTACTTGTGTGTTTGGTCAAGAAGGGCAATATTGCACAGGCATCAAGAAAGGCATAGGGGAAGGACTTGTCTCTTCTCAGTATTTTCATATATGTCCGGTTGTTTATTCTGTTTAATTTTTTATTAAATACATGTTCAGTCTTGCATATTATAATGATATTTGCTAATTTTCTAACATTCAGACTGAAACAAAATATGGTTTACACATATGTTTTGCCACCCACAAAGCAAAAACTCATGGGAAAGAATATCATGAAGTTGCTCCCAAACTGGTGGGTAGATGAACAGGGTACCCCTTAGAGCCTACATTTTCATACTTTACAAAGGGGACCAAAAGGCTTTCAAAATATTGCTTGCCACCATCTGCTCCATTGCTGTTACCATTAATCAAAATTGGATGATAATATTATTGAATTCATGAATTGTTGCAACAGAACTTGACTGTTTTTCAAAACTACTCTGCACTTCTTGTGAACTTCAATAAATTGATTACAAAAATTGCTATGGCTTCAACTTAAGTACCAGGGAGGTTCAAACTTCTTTTAATGTCCTCCTCAAATTTTACGTGCCAGAAATGACCTTGAGTTGTGGAATGTAATAGAAATGTCTGTTAATAGAAAATATAGGCTCAATGTGGAGCATGTTTATGAGAAATAATTTACTTCTTGGAAAATATTAAATCTGTATTTATCAAATAAATATCATTTAACATACAATGAATAAATATTCTGTAATATAACTGATAAAATTATTAGAAACGAGATATTACTCAATACTTTTTTCTAATTCAAATTAATTTAATGTCTTTCATCATTGCCAACAAGTTGTAGTTCATAAGTGTGAATTCGCATTAGATGTTGACGTTATGAATTAGTTTTAATCTTCTAAAGAACAGTATTAGAGAGATAACACTGTTGTGTGATTTAATTTTATCGTCATAAAGTGTTGCTGTTTTTCATTTGAAAGAGTGTTATTATCATATGGATAAAATAATCCTAAGCTACTAAATAGGTTGTTGTTGTTGTTTTTTGTCCAGGAGCACAAATGCTTACTAATTTAGATATTTTATTATATTAAAAATGAATTTATAAACCTTAAACCTTTGGTTTGCTGATGTATACCATTAGATTTTGTTAGGGTTACAGTATAAAAACTTAGGTGTCATTTCATGGAATTAGTCACAAGGGTATTGCATGTTCTACATAAGAAATATCGCTTTACCATTCTACATAAAAAATGTGAAAGCAGGTTGTTTTTTTTTCATATTTATTGATATGCATCTGTAGAATGTGATTTACAATAAAAATTACATTCTAAGAAAAACAAAATGTATCCAAAACCACCATTGTTGCTGTTTCCTCAGCTTCTTGTTGTTTTAGAGGTTTTAAGTATATCTATGGTGTGAGTTAATGATATAGATTTCAGTTGGTTCAAAGACTATTCAAATTTTTCCCAAATGTAGAATATTCATCTAGTAAGTGAAGCAGTTTAAAAAAAGCATGCACAATGAATATTTAAAATAAAAGTGCATCAATTGACTACTATAGATCTATATTAAAGTCACAGAAATGCTTTTTTAAATGAGATTAATAATAAAATGAGTAGAATACATTCCACAATTCGTGCGTAATACCAACCAGTTCCATCTTGTTTAGAGTGCAGTATTTTGTCAAACATGTTGATGTCTACTCCCATGATCTTAGTATCACTTGCTTTTTCTCCATTCACATTCTATAATGTGCTTTTTGGCTTACACAGACTTTTCCGTGTTACTTTTCAGTGCAGGAGACAACCCCTTTTAGAAAGTATGTCGATTGTAACTTGGTCATATATTATGTCTATCAATAATCATCAAATAACATTTTAAAAATATGCAATCAGTAGATTTATT